CTCATAATAGGTGACATAAAGTACATAGACTATGGTAAAGTGGGCTGATGAGGAAAATGAGAAATATCTCAGGCTATAGTGTGCTTTCAAGCAAAAGACTGGAGAAAAAGGGGTCAAAAATTAAGCTCTATTAAACTACTATTTCAGTTTAAAAGCTCATTTCAAAGGTGGACTATTTCCTTTAATGTTTACAGCCCCTGAACAATAACCATAGCAAAGGTCACCGGGGTCCATTGAAACGGATTGTGGCCCTGTTTCAACTGACCCTCAGAGAAGCGTTTCAATTGACCCCATCCGCTCCCGCCATCTCGCACGCGCCGTGAAGCACATGTCAAACGAGCTGGAGGGACGGCATCATGCTGAATGAAGGGCCAAATAAGGTGTTATTCCGGAGCCAGGAGTTCTTCTTTCAGCAAACAAAGGTATATGCGATATCACAAAATATTCATAAAAACGATTTCTCCCAAACGCCCCTCAAAAACACAAAAACAAGTGTCAAATCTAAATTACCGTCCGTTTGCCGCCCAAACGCCGTTGACAAAGGAAGTGGTCGAGCGCGGATGCGCAGTGGTGTCGGCAACGCCATATGTTGCATACTGTTGAAAATAAAGCCATGTTTCATCTGACCCCGTGTTTCAACTGGCCCCGCTCTCCCCTACTGCCAAAAATGGAGCTATTATGATATCGCTCGTTGGTAACTAAGTGTGGCGTGCTTCATAAATGATCGCCGCATAGAGAAACAACCGTTTAATGAAGAAAATGACTTATATTTTACTCATAATAACAATCTGAACCCCAATGTCCGCTTCTATATGGAGTTTGGCGCATAACGTTGCCTATTTACCACACTCACTCCTAATGACCTGAGACCATTAGGCAATAGGTAGGGGTAAGTACCAACCAGAGGTGCCCTTTTTCGACCCGCCAGCCCGCAATGAGCGGGTAGACAAAACCCGCATGGGTTTAAGCGGGTTGCATCACCAGAGAATACCTTGGTGTGGGTTTTATACGGGTACCAAAAATATCAGAAACTTCTCAACTAAAACAAAAACAAATTTCCTCTTTAACCCACGCCGGGCCGGTGCTCCGAGACTTCTGCGGGGCCGGGGGGTGTCTGAACACCCCCCCCCCCTTCTAACTAGGCTCCTGGGCCACGTAGCGACACGCGGTAAGCGGCAATCGAAAGAACGTCCAAAATAAGGACGAAAACACATCAGTCATTTTCTGAGTCAGGTCAAAGGTCAGGTCACCAGAGGTCACCAAAAGAAAAATGTTGGCTATTTCAACAATTTGGAAACTGCCAACGGTTAACTCGGGAACCGATAGAGCCACAGCGCCGAAAAAGCGCATTCAATAGCTCTTTTAGCGCTCTTTCGCTTATAAGTCATCAGATTTGACCTCAGGTCAACGGTCTAGACTGCAGAGGGCAAAAACTCCAAAAATAGCCGTTTTACGAGAAGTGTTTTTTCGGCAATAACTTTTGACTCAAAAAAGCCACGACATTACTTTTGCCGGCATCGTGTTCCTCTCGTCGATACGCTTTGAATGATCTATAATTGGACCTTGAAAGGTCAACTTGAAAATTTGACCTCAGGTCAAGGTCATAACCCGACCGGAAAAGGTCATGTTGCATATCAGTCGATCCGCATCGTCGAGCCGAACACATCTAAGGCGTTTTCATCGCTTTAGCATGCCTCTATCAGAAGTTATTAGCGAAAAACTGTTAGATACTATTCGTGACCAGAGATGACCTCGGGGACATAACGAGGGGTCACAGGTGCCAGTTTCCGGTTCAGGGTGTCAATTTTATTTGCATTCCGATGTTTGAGATAGTCTAGAACGGCGTTTGTGCAAAAGAGACGCTTTTCAATTTTCTCCCATTGACTTACCTACCTATACCTAATGGAGGAGAGGCCGCAAAATTGACCTGACCTTAGGTCACCGATATTAAAATTCCGAGATAACATTTTATAGATACTGCTACTCTTATCAATCGCTGAAAGTTTGAAGGCAATCATTCACTCGGTGTAGTTATAACGAGCATTCTAATTTTTTCTGAGGTGGGCGTCACTTGACGTGACCTGACCTTGAGCGACCTATAGGTCTGAAATTTTCACATCATGTGCGGAAAAGGTCACGAACATTTCCATTTTAACCCGCGCCGGGCCGGGGGGGGGGTGTAACACCCCCGCCACCCCCCCCCCCCCGGCCCGGCGCGGGTTAAAATGGAAATTGAATATGCTCGAGCATGGCCTTAGAATACTTAGCATATGCAGTCAGATGTCCTGGAAAAATATGGCTAGAAAATGGAAAAGGTATTTGGCTGCTATGCGGGTTTTTGCGGGCTGCTACCACTGAAGTTCCCCATGCGGGTAGTTGTGGGTACGGGGACCCGCAGTTGCTACTGTACAGCGACCCTGAGTAAATTGTCCCAGCGCACTCACAGGGAACAAAAATAAGCTGTCAGAGGGCACGCACATAAAATCTCAGCTGCTCTTGTAGAGGGACCAGCAATCGATATCAATGTTATCGGTTGTTACTGGACAGGACAGACGGCTAGAGTTGGGGTTCGTGTACAGTAGCAACTGCGGGTCCCCGTACCTAAATGGTGAAGGGTTGCGGGGCGAGGCTGGTTACCTGGATCCCCAAAAAGGACACCTCTTTTACCTACCTATCGTCGGGAACAAATAGCGACTGATACGGCAGTTGAACCGGGCCCCGGAACAAAATCACATTATCACCGTTCCCTCTTTTCCATGAACACTCAAATCCTTCTTCTCTACACAACAACAACAACAACAAGGCCCCCTGTTCCAGGCTAGGCGGGCAACTTTATACCATGCGGTAATGCCTGCATAGAACGCGCCCGTAGCCAGTGGTGGCGGAACACCCTCAATTAACCCGCGCTCCGCTGGGCTTTTCAGCCATAGGTACGCGCCCTGCTGGGCGGGGGAGGGGCAGATTCTGTCCCCCCCCCCTTGTCTAACTTCCGAACCGATGGTCGTAGAAAGACTGGGAAAACGGCAATCGAAAGCTCTCAACAAGGCGGATCTTAAGAGCCCAATTTTTTTGCTCAAGTAGGTCAGAGGTCAGGTCAAGGTCAGGTCAAGGGTACAAAATGCAAGTTTCTACAGTATCGGCCTTGCACCGTAGTTGCCGAAGAACGGACTGAGACTGATTGCCCATTGCCCAAAACGTGTTCTTAGGCTACCAAGACAATATTCGTTGCATACAATATCATTCAAAGGACAAGCTCAAGGTCAGGTCAGGTCAGGTCAGGTCAGGTCACCAAAAGCAAAATATAGAAAAGGACATGTGCGACACATGTTTTATGGGTCATTTCATTCATATAATTCAATAAGCACACTCAATAAGTGGTATGGACCACCTCTGGATGAATTTCAGGTCGAGGTCAGGTCAAGGTCATGTCAAGTGAGGTCAAATTTTGAAGTTGGTTGTTAAGGCCGAAAAAGGTGTCTAGCTGATGCAGTTTTCCACGGCGAATCGAATGGTGCTATTTTTTGTTTCCGTGCGAGATCAACTTCCAAAAAAATCATTTTTCAATAAATTTGTGTGTCATGACGTCATAAAATGTTGAAAAACTCCCGCATTTTTGAACCAATTCTTCTAAAAATTGGTATCTAGGCATGGACGTATAAATAAACATACGATATCATCCGTCATCGTGCTCATGGTATATAGATCGTGCTATTGTAAGGAGCGGCTTTCAGAATTTGCTTGCATTTTTACTAGTACATTAATAAATGCCACCTAACAACGTCTTGCGCTGCATTCGTCCCATTCGTCTACAGTCTAGTTTTGAAAGTTTTTGCGTGTGTTGTCTTGTGATAATATGCAATTGTTTAATTATTAATTGACGTAGGACCCAGGATATCGCATAAAAATGAATCCCCTTACGTAAGTATTGTCCTGTGCATGCTTTTTTACCATTTTGTATCGGTGTAGACTCTGTAGAGTGTGGACTGTACTGGGATCAGGGATATCAATGTGGTCATTGCTCATTTCCCTTCCTGTTTTCACAAAAGTAAATCAAAATCAGTAACTAGGGTTATATTTTCGGAGAGCACACATGATATTTATTACAGAAGAAACAGTTTATCACAACCATTGCATTCAAATGCTGTTGTTGGACATATTTGGTGATCTGGGACTTGGAGTGTGTGTATTTTGTTCTATATGACAATCGGATTGGTTTGTCTCAATTTTGTTTGATTTGTTTTGATTCGTACCATCTATCTAAGCATGCTATAATATTTTAACAGCCAACACAAAATATATAGCAATGCATTTCTTTATTTGCCTTGATTACCTTAACTTGAACTGGCACCAATGGTTGCACCTTGGGGCTTGGTCCCTTTGTAGGTAGGTACGTACTTACTACGTATGCAGGTACAGCGAGGTATTATTTGAAAAATAGTTGGGGTTGTGTTAATATTGTTTGTCACAAGAATTTGAATATGAATTTCCTTCTCTAACCCATATTTTTTTTTCCTCAGGAATATCAAGAACATCAGGAAATTGAATGAGAGGGAAATTGAACTAGGGATTGATGAGAAGTCATCCTGGCACAACCAGTACAAAGACAGTGCCTGGATCTTCATTGGAGGACTTCCCTTTGATCTGACAGAGGGAGATGTCATCTGTGTCTTCTCACAGTAAATATTTTTATTTGCTTGCAGTTATTTTTACATGGTGATGTGCTTCAATTTTAATCTGCAGTTTGCATTGTGCTATGCTATATTTCCTTCCAAGTTCCAGTGTGAAGTTATTCATGAGATAAATTAGAAACAAGCATTAGAGACAATGTTCTATAAAAACTGTTTTTTGTTATTTTTGATTGAGATAGGTAACATCAAAATAGGTACCTACCATTTAATTTAATACCATGCAACTTCCTTTCAGATGTCTGCTGTGCTATTAGAAATCACTACATACCTAATTTTCTTTGATTTGATCTGTACATTTTCCTTTCCCAACAGGTATGGTGAAATAGTAAATATCAACCTGATAAGAGATGCCAAAACAGGCAAATCTAAAGGGTACTGTTTCCTGTGCTATGAAGATCAGCGGAGCACCAACCTTGCTGTGGACAACTTCAATGGCATAAAGGTAAATAGGCTTTGTCTCAGGCCACATCACATTACATCATAGCATTGCTTCCATTACATAATGGCATACCTACTATCAATTTTCCATTGCCCACATTGTTATTCTCAATCTTTCATTCATTTTTTACTTACAATGATATCGCATACTTGTTGACTTATTATCAATGGCATTTATGCATTTATTTTTCTTTGCGATTTTTAATTTTCTCGTTTGTTTTCATTTCTATAGATTTTGAATAGATCTGTGTAAGAGTGACAGGTCAGAAAGCAAATTAAAAGGCACATTACCTATTGGTATTTGATTGTTCATAACACCCATAAATTGCTGGTGTGTGTTGATTTTCATTGTGAAATATCATAGTCCATTGTATATTTCATTTCATATCATTGTTTATCATTTCAGCAGGCATGCATCCATTTCGCAGCCTTAAGGTTACAGTTCTTTTTCTTTTGTTATTGGGAATCTGGATTTGTGAACACATACACATATGTACTACATAGCTTCCTGGCTTTACATGCCAATAATACTGATTGCAACAATAAGGTCAGATAATTATCAGTGCTGTTTTTGCTTGTGAATTGTCCAGATATCAGAGCACATTGATACATGATTGTCAGTAAATAACAAAACCTTAACTTTGCTGTCACAAAGAGTGTCTGAATTTAGCTGGACCAAGTGCACAATCAGCAGGGTGGCACACACAGTTAATTTTGCACTATTCAAGCATTGCTCAATCTGCAAAAGGATTTTACAGGGCACACACAGCGTCATCAAATCTGAGGTGTGTAGGTAGGTATGTCCTAATTTAGTTGAGGATGCAAGCAACCCACGTGAAAAGTTACAGGCACAAAACGTCCACTGACAACTGCTTTGACGTCCAACACACTTGGAAAGCTGAAGTTTATCACCTTGCCAGCTTTACATATTTTTGTCTATTTTTTATCATGGCCAATAGTCCTCAGTGAATGAATTAAGTTTCTATTTAGGTTATGTAAAATGCGGCTGTAATGCAATTTAAGTACATCAAGAACAATGACCTCATCACTCATGGCATTGAGAAACTTGACTGTCGGATTTGATGTGGGTGCATTAATTGTTTGTTTTGGAGTTAAGCCAATGGTCTAACCACGCCCATGCTTATTAACTTGGCTTGAAGCAGATCTTTGCTATTGTAAACAGTTAGGATTATTTATGATTTGTTCGTAAATGAACACATCAAATTGATAATTGAGATGAGCACCTCATCACACATTTTACTTTTGTTGGTATTTAACATTGGTGAATAAAGGGCAGAATTTTTTATGGCTTGCATGCTATCCAGAGCCCTTCCAGTGACTTTCTCTCATTATTTGGGAGTTTGAAACCAAAGCTCATGTAGTTACCTATGCTAGGTGGAACACTGGCTATGTTGGACACAGGTTATGTCAGATTGTGTGCACTGACCACTGTGCACCTTGACTATGATTTACATATGTCGCTGTCACGTTAATCTTCAATTGTCAGACTGTCAGCAGCTGTTTGGTGTTTGCTCCGTCCCGAGCCACGAGTGACGCTGCGTCGAATCCCACAGAGGTCAAACTCCCCATTGGTGGGCCGATGCCCCCGGCAGATCGTCCACGTCTCGGCTGCGCCCGGGCGACGACAGCCGCGGCGCGGCGCGCCCGCCACGTACGCCGCACTGGCGCGACGCCGCCGCCGCCGCGCGACCTGGCCGACCGCGTGTCGAGGCCGCCCGTCCGACCGGCACGCGCGCTGAGCCCCAGCGCAGGGCCGAGCCGGTGCTGCCTGGTGCGTCCGCTAAGGGAGAGCGCCCCTGGGCTGTGCTCTCCACAGCGCGGCGCGAGGAGGCTCCTGAGAGCCCTACCGGCGCCGCATGGCGGCAGCCAGCGGCGCTGACTGCCCGCAGACCCTGCTGAGGTCCGCCGTCAACGACGGAGCGCTGGCTGGCTGGATGGAGCTCTCGCACACGGAGTTTGACTCCCACGGAGCTTCCGATGCAGCAGCGAGGACAACAATGGCAGCAGCAGCAGCTGTATCAGCGCGGTGGCGGTGAGGGCAGCGGCGGAGGCGGTGGTAACAACACGAGGAGCACTGACCAGCTACGAGTTCAACGGAGCAGCACCTACATTCTGCAAACAGAAGCTGAAGAGGGCAGCAGACCGGCAGGCAACACAAACGCTGTCTGCCTGTTCCTGAACTAGCAGCAACAGCAGAAGCGAGAGGTTCGACAGGATCCTTTTTCGTCAGCAGCTGGACCAAGCGCCTGCGGCTTCCCCGGAGCCAGGCGGAGTGAGGAGCTTCCGCCCGAGCGGAGAGACTCCGCACGCTCCGCCGGAGGGCCCGCAGCGCCGCCATCTGCCGTCTCCCGCTTACCGCTCTCCGCCCGCGCCGTCCACTGCTCTCCGCTTACCGCTCTCCGCCCGCGCCGTCCACCGCCCGCTGCCAAACGCCCACCGCCGCCGCCCGGCCCTGAGACGGTGACCAGGCCTCTCCGGTCCTGGGGTGGCGGTGGTCAGTCTGCTTGGCTGGACCTGCCTCTCCGCTCATCACAGCGAGCTGTCGGCCGCCCGGCCTGCCCGAGACCGCACGGCACCACGACCGCAGTCGCCAAGGCTGGCGGCAGTCCCAGCTGCAGCAGCTGCTGAACTGATGTCACCAGAGCTGCCATAGCGGACCAACGAGTCACTGGAGCTGTTTGCTTTGACTTTGGTAGACCTACCCAGAATATTGCCAGGTGTGCATAGTTTTGGTACCGTTATTTTCTTTCATTGAGCGAATTCATCAAATGATTTTAAAAGAACATTATTTGGAAAGTTTTTTTTTGTAACCGTCTTACTGAATATCAAGTTATACAACGATGCGTCACCAGCGCTGTATAAAATATGCATTATTTTATGACACTGTCCTATTCAACTCAATTAAACCTCGAACGTGAACCTAAAATAATTCAGCCTCACTTTTTCATTCACCATCCCCAAAGTTTTTAAACGGGCTCAGTTAAATATTCAGAAATTTCAACTTAAGAGGTATAACCGGCTGCAGCTTCCAGTCAACATAGGATGCTGTCGCCTGTCACCAACGCTTTTCGCCGTGGCTACCATCGCGACTAGCTTCAGTCGTTGGCACTCGACACCTTCGCCTTCATCAAGACTCCGTCGCCCGTCCCGGCTGCTCTCCGGATATTCGTCTCCCCGAGACCCGAGCTCCGGGCGTGGCTGCCGGGCCGGCGGCCTGTTCTTCGCAACTCCAAGTGGAGCATCTCGACATCAAGTCACCGAGTCGTCGACGCCAAATAACCGCTTTCTCCAAGGAGCAACGCGTGCTGCTGTCCTCTCCGAGCTGTGAAGCTCGGAGCGGAGCGGCCTTGCCGCTCGCCAGTCTACCGCTCTAACGCGACTGACTCCGCCATCCCGACACCGCCGTCTCCTCCGTCGTCGCAGCTGACTGAGGCTTGGCTAGCGGCGGCACCTGATCAGCGCCCGGCTCGGCCTGGTGGTGAGACGGAGTCGGTGAGCTGAGCTCTGCGCCTGATGGTCAGTCTTCGAGGAGGACCACCACCGGCCGCCGATGAGCTTCCAGATCAACCCTGGCTACACGTCTAGCCAGACACCGGCTGGGCCTCCCAGCGACGCTCAGCAGGCTTTTGGACCTCACGTCCCCCGCGCTGGAGACATGCCTGGAGCGGGGCCAGTCGCGATGGTCAAGTCCAGCTCGCCTGTTCCCGCTGCGGCGGTGTGGACCGGTGGCTCCGCGGACGCCGGGTGACGCTGGTCACGCTCTGGCGAACACTATAATTCTTCCCTGATGTCTTGGGGCATCGTCGCCCGCCGCCGGCGTCTGGTACGCTCGGTCCTCTAGACGCAGCGGACAGCCGGCGTCAGAACAGGACTGGAGCGGAACTGGTGGACTTCTGACGAGCTGATCGCGAAGGCAGCCGAGGCAACCCCTGACAACAGCTGGTGTGTCCCGGCGCCCTGTCACCGCCGCCGCCGCTGGCACCCGAGCCGTAGAGACCTTGTCTCCGGCCGACGCAGCGGCGACTGGACGACGCCGATGCCGGTGCGGACGCCTCCCGCCGCTGCAGCTGGCCTCGGCGCCGTCCCAGGCCCGGCCACGCCGGCCGCGGGCTCTGCCGACACCCCAACCAGCTGGGTGAAACACATCGCTGAGTATCACCACCCCTGGTTGCTCAGAGTGGCGTCGGATCGGCGCGAGCCGCGTCTGAGCTGAGTCGGATGGCCTCGCCGAAGGGTGGGTAAGATGGTGAGTAGAGTCGCGCACCAGCGACCGGTGAGTATCGTGCGTTAGAGTATCCCGCGCTGTTATTCGATATGACCCAAAATGTGGGTCCTCCCAGACCGATCCCTTGCGACCGCCCTTCTGAGGGTGGTCTAACGCAGTCAGTCCCGCCACCCGCCCGGCCGGAGCGGCCTGCTGGTACCTCCCTCGCTGACATACGTTCACGTGCTGCCGCCAGCTGCTGAAGCGGACCATCCGGGTGGACCACGTGCGAGACTACAAGCCGCCCAAGGACAACGAGGATCTGGACGACATCACGCGTCGGCTGCACGAGGAGGGCGTGGCGCCGCGCACACCGAGCCCGACGCGGCCGGCCGAGCCGCCCCCGGAGCCGGAGCCGGAGCACAAGTCGCCGGCCAGCGCGCACAAAGGTGGGTGGAAAGTGGGATAGGGGCGACTGGAGGTTTTTGACAGGTTAATCGCAAGGAGTCACTTTTTATCTCATGACTAGATCATTCGAATAACTGAGGGTGGATTTATTTGAAAGCGGAAATGGCGAAGATAGACAGCGTAAGCCTCGCCGTGTTAGAATCATGCAGTTTTTATATGGGAACGTTAGTGGCTTGAATTCCATTGCGTGCCCGCTGTGCTTAGGCATCAGCTATCAACATCAACGTCGTAAAGTTCATAGAGCGTGTTTAAACGTCATTGGTGTTTTACGACACATTGGCAAGTGTCCAATGATTTGATGCCATTTTTTATGTTTTATAGTCAAAAAGGAGAAGAAGAAAAAGAAGAAAGTAAAGAAAGAGTCTGACGAGTCTTCGGACGAAGAGCGCTCCCCGAAGAAAAAGAAGTCAAAGAAGAAGAAGAAAAAGAGGGAAGTTTCATCTGATTCTGAAGACTCACTAGATTCTGACTCTGAGGAGGAGCGCCGACGGAAGAAGAAAAAGAAACAGAAGAAGAAAAAGAAGCGTCGCCATTCATCGAGCAGTGAGACGGAGTCGAGTGCCGAGCAGTCGGAGGCCGACTCGTCACAGAGCGAGGACGAGAGTCGCAGCAGTCGCCGTCGCAAGAAGAAGTCGCACCGTCACCGGCGCCACAGCTCCTCACAGGAAGAGGAAGAGGAGGAGGAGTCTGTGTCTGAGAGGAGCGAGTCTCCGTCCCCTCCGCCGCGCGAACTGGAGCGGCGCGACTCGAGCGGTGCGCGCCGCGGCCCGCCGATGCGCTCCGGCGTCCAACAACCCAACGGGAATGGTCGGCCGTTCCCGGGCCGGCAGGCCAGAGGACGCGGCGGTGGAGGCGGCGGCGGCGGCGGAGGAGGAGGCGGAGGCGGCGGTGGCGGTGGCGGCGCCAAGAGACGGGCGCGAGGCGGGCGGGCGCGTTTCAGGCCCCGGGACATGCAGCAGGAGCAGCAGCGGCAGATGCGTGAGGCCCAGCTGCCTCCGCCGCGTATGCACATTGAAATGGACCAGGTGAACGCTCGTGACCGGCGTCTTCTGGAGCTGGCCGAGTACGTCCCGAGCCACCCTGTGCTGGAGCGGCACCGACAGGCGCCAGAGTCGCTCGACCAGCTCCGCGAGGAGGTAGAGTCACTCAGGGAGCTGGTCAGCTCGCAGGCCGCGCCCTCTCCGCCTCCACCGCCGCCCAAACGCAGGATGCTGTCGCCGGAGTGGCGTGGCCGCTCCCCGTCGCCGCCGCCGCCGCAGCGAGGCCGCTCGCCCCCGCCGCCGCCCCGCGGCCGGTCACCTCCGCCCAGAGGGAGGTCACCGCCCCCGCCGCCGCGGGGCAGGAGGGGTGGGCCGCGCTCGCCGCCGATGCCGCCGCCACCCCCTCCCAGGAGCGAGGGGAGACCCATGGAGCGCAGAGATCGTCCGCCAAAGATAAGACCCGCGAGCCCGCCGCCAGACCGGCGCGACCGCGGCCCGGGCCAGCGCTACAGGAGTCCGGACGGGCCGCCCGATCGGAGAGACCGTGGACCAAACGGACCACCGGATCGGAGAGACCGTGGACCAAACGGGCCACCGGACAGGCGGGATCGCGGACCGAACGGACCACCAGACCGGCGGGATCGAGGACCGAATGGACCACCGGACAGACGAGATCGAGGGCCAAACGGACCACCGGATCGTCGAGATCGAGGACCAAATGGACCACCAGACCGGCGAGATAGGGGGCCTAATGGACCACCGGACCGTCGAGACAGGGGTCGCCCCATGTCACCCGACCGTCGCGACAGAGGACGCCCAATCACCCCCGACAAACGCGACAGGGGCCGGCCGAGCTCCCCCGACAGACGCGAGCGGGAGCGTTCCCCCGTCCGGAAGAAGGCGTCTGAAAGCAGCAGGCGAGGTTCAGAGGACTCTCGGCGGGGAAAGCCATCCAATGGCAGGGCAGAACACCGCTCCGGCTCCCGGTCCCGGTCTCCGGTCCGACGCGAGTCGTCTGCGTCGGACGGTCGTCGAGGGCGACGCTGATCGACGCAGCGGCGCAGGAGGCGAGCCGGGAAACAAGTTTGAGACTGCCAGAACTTTTGTTGGGCCGGGGTGGAGATGCGAGTTGGGGACGTTAGCGACTATCGTAAGTCGGAACGTTGTTGAGTATCAGTTATAAACGTTGCGAGTATGGAGTCGAAATGCGAATGGGATGTTCTCGACCACCATATGCCGGGTTGATGTTTGTATGCGAGATGTTGTGCGAAGTCGAGTGTGAGAGTGCGTGGATGATCGTACTGTAGCGATCAGGTGGGGCGTCTCGATGAGGGCGGGTTTTGATCGGGGTTTGCCGGGCGGGGTGGGCGGAGTGTTCCAGAGACGCACTTCTCTTCTCCAGCTGGTGTATTTAGCCGGCGACATGAACACGACGCACGCGCTCACCACATAGGAAAACACCAAGCATGTGTGTAGGCATAAGAGTGTGTGCTACATGCAGTTCTGGGACGAATACATATGGCTTCACTGGACTAGCACTGTAATTTGGTTCGGTTTTCGGGAGAACCGTCGCGCTTTGCCCGTTACGCAACTCACGCCGAATGACACCGGTGACCAGCAAAAGCTATGACTAGATTTCACGCGACAGTCCGGTGGGCTTCAACACATGCACGCACACAAACATACACACACAGCGCTATTCTAACGAAACAGAAACGCACACACGAGTCGGACGCAGCACCCGCCGGCCGCGGTCGGCTGGCGGGGCGCGGTCGACTGACTAGATACGCTACAAGGACTAGCTACGTGCATGGCGGGCGCGCCATTTGACTTCCCGCGCACACTGCGCGGACGCGACAACAAAAAGAGGTGCGACAAACACAAACACGACGCGGGCGCGACACAGGCGGCGCAATGAGTGAGAGGGTCCGCCGAGCGGCACCCCCTAATTGACGATCAACGATTGACTAGTATGGGTTATTTGTGCTCGACGTCAAAGCCTCGCATTTCATGACTAGGGGTCTGTCTGACATTTCTTCAGAGTCACCGTCTCGCACATACACACACAGACAAAGGCGAGAGCGGTATGCACGGTAAACATGCGAATTAAGTTAGAAAATAAAGATTCAGAATAACTTAAGTAAGCGCGAAAGGCGACGGGCGCCAGCGATCTGAGGTGTAATCGACTACAACCCAGTATCGTGGGCGCTCTACCTGATCGGTTCGTCCATGACTCTCCTCTCTCCAAGGCGTGCTCTGTTTTCAAGCGTCACACTCGCACGTGGGGACGCCGCGAGGTCTGCCCGCGGCAGCCGCGGCCCGAGGCTGTTTGATGATGATCTGACTGGGCCGCTCGCGCTGGCCTCTGGAACCCGTGCTAGTCCGTCTCGGCGCCTCAGCTGACGGCCGTCAGGGGCAGCGCGGCTCGTCTGTCTCCGTTTTCTCCGCTCTCCGCGCGCTAGTTGACGTTGAGCACGTGCTCGGCGATGAGCGGCGCCTCAGCGAACACTGTGCTCTCTCCGTCCTGCAGACAGACGAACCGGTGGCCGTTGCTCTCGCCTGCCGGGTACAGGGTGACGTAAACATCCTGTCCGCCGGCCACCAGCGGCTCGGCCAGGGTCAGCGGCAGCAGTACGGTCGGCTGCTCGACGGCCACGGCGGCGGCCTCGGCGGCCGGCAGCTCGGCCGGGACAGCCGGCTCCAGCGCGTGCAGCTCAACGGCGTCCACCGGCTGCAGCTCCACGTGGTCTCCGGCCGGCGCCGCCTCGCCGTAGCGCCGCGCAAACTCGGCGAACTCGTCCTCAGCCGAGGCGGCCGCGAATTCGTTGGTCTCGTCGGCGTCCAGTTCCATCTCGGCGGCGGCGGCGGCGGCGGCCGGGTCGGCCTGCTCAGCGCCGGCCGGCGCCGGCTCCAGCGGCTGCAGCGGCTCCAGCTTCACCGGCTCCAGCTTGATGGTCTCGCCGGTCACCCCGGTGACGGCCGTCACGGCTGTGACGGCCGTAACGCCCGTCACGACGCTGGCGGCCGGGGCGGCCACGACAGAGATCGTCGGCGCCTCCTGCAGGTCCACGCTGACGGCGGCCACGCACGACTTGGCGTCCCGGTGTCGGGTGTAGTTGCTCAGGTCGTAGAATCGACGCAGGCACGTCTCACACTGCCGAGATAGACGCACGGCTTAGAATAGTTTTCTCGGCATTCAAAACATTGCATTTATCAGAAAAAAAAACATCAGCCTTGACAGCATAGAGTTATTCCACTCGCACACAACACAACACATCGTGGCTTCAGCCTCATCAAAACCGTGGTGGTAGGCCAAATATAAATTAATCCACATAGTGTGCGTAGTCACGATAGAAATATAATGTCTGCAGCTGCTAGGAAGTCAATATAAAACTCGCGCAAGCTATGGGACACGCTCAGGTTTCCAATCAATATATTCGTCATCACACCCCATGGCCAGTCCTGAGTACCCTTTATCATGATATGGCACGTCCAGTGCCCACCCAACCATCCCTTCACCTCTAAAAAGCACAACTCACCATCCCCTCCCTCACCTGATACTGGGCGTGTCGGTGCATGCTCTGCACGTGCTTCCGCAGAGCCTCGGCCGATGAGAACGGTTTCAGGCAGAGCTGACAGTTGTGCTCGGAGGCGGTCGGCGGCGCCGGAGCTGCCGCCGGTCCCGTCGAGTGGCGCCGCTTCACGTGCCGGTTCAAACTGTGGCTGGCGCCGAACCGCTCCTGGCAGTACTGGCACACGTGCGGCTTCTCACCTGTGGGAACGGAGCGATGCAGCAGGGCATGATTGGGCTGATTGAGATAACCCGGGATAAGATTATAGCAAATACAGAAGGTAGAACAATGACTGATTTTGACGGCAATTTTGAGTTTCATTGTAAGTAACGAAAAAGAGGAAATTGACAACGCCGTCCACCATCTACGATTCCATCTCTCAAGTATCTAAAGCCTATCATACAAATTTCGCAGGCAGGTGTTCAAGATGCTTCACGAATATCCAAATTCCAGAATAATATCACCAAAGAGAAACATCAGTAAAATCGATCCCGCGTTCGTAGCAACAGTCCGTCCATTGCACCGACCGCACCCCTCAGCATCCCTCCCACTGCGTCACGTACCCATGTGGACCTGCTGTCTGTGACGACGCAGGCTGTCCCGGGTCGGGTAGGTCTTCTCACAGTCCTCACACACGTACACACCGCCGAAATGGGAGCGGGCGTGCCGCACCAGGCTGGGGGCGGCCGGGCGGGGAGAGAGTGTCACGCAGGGTAGTGTGGTGGTTGTGTGTGTGGGCACGCTCTGCTCAACGTATCGACACAGCGAGTGATGAAAGTGTGGTGACATCGGGCAGGTCAGAATATGACTCGGCGCACTCATGAAGTCACCCAGCATATCCTGATGAGTCAAAGGAACAGACAAGACACTGTTGCATACCAAAACCACACACAAATCAACAAATCAGCCCAGCAAACCAAACAAGAGAAAACATCGCTGACCAGTCGAGAGACAGTGCTTCTTCAACGACCTAGCTCAGTCACATATTAATAATCATTATCAATGGGTGCACCATTCTAAGAGAATCCACTCTCATCCATCCATATTGACCGCTACAGCTACCCCACCCTCTCAGCTCCCCGCGCTCACAGCTCCCCACTCACCCGGGCTTAGTCATGAACCTCTTGCCGCACGTTTTGCACGCGTGTACCACTCCCCGATGGGTGGTCAGACGGTGGTAGTTGAGTGCGCCCAGCATCGAGTACCTCTTACCACACTCGTCGCAGTCAAACGGCTTGGTGATGCCGTGCGCCTCGCGCATGTGCTCGTGCCACGTGCTGCGCAGAGCAAACAGCTGGTGGCACACCGAGCACGGGTGGCGCGGCTTCAGCTTCTGTCGAGGGAGAACAAACGTACGGGAGGGTTAGATTGAGATCTTAGGGGCGGATCGCGGGTTGCTTTTTTAGGAGGCCAAGAAGGAGAATTGCGCAATGTACGTAGAATGATACTCTGTTCGCTCTATGTGTATATGTGTATATGTGAAGTGTGATCAAGAAGTCTAGATTTCTGCGATACAGTCGGATGCTAACTATCTGTTGGGGAATGATGCAAATGTTTGTGAAAAGTAAGCAGTGCAATGAGCAATAAGTAGTAATTCACCCCGTAAAAATGAAAGAGGTAGCGTCAACATCTGTTCCTAAAGCCGAAACTTGCGGCTGGGTGAAAGGCTCCACTGATATGTAATTGTGCTGGCAATCGTGTTGTGTGTGTTTTTTTAGATTCAGATTTTTCTTAAACTGTTATGTGATGGGTCGTATATTATAATGTCATCGATTAAACGCGTTTAAGAACGCGGCGGGCCGGTGATGATAACTTTAATTGTCGATATAAATTGGGCACAGTTCAAACCATTTTGGCGCACTGACTGAGATTCACCAACATAATACCCCGAGCCCCCAAAAATAACCCGAGGGTTCAGTCGTCCCGATGTCGCCCATTACGTACCGGATCCTCGGGCGTGTGCAGTGTCTTCAGGGGCCGGTCGTGGCCGTTGGAGGGCTGCGCCGGTGCCGACAGCAGCTCGTCGTCGATGGGGCTGCCGCTGTCGGCAGAGTCGGACGAGGTCGCCGGCCCCGAGCGGCAGTGTCGCACTGGTCGCATCATGCCGAGCGCTGCTGGCGCCGCCGGGCGGTCTGTTCCGTGACTAGTGTCGCGCTGCTCTCCTCCGCCGCCGCTCGCCGCCGCTCGGTCCTGACGGGTACGTGCAGCCACCGGACCACCCCCGCCCTGCGGCACAGCGGCACCATATGATCACAGTGTGACCAAATTGGTTTAGCGTTAGGGGGAGGATGTATAAAAGTCATACGAGGATGTCACTATTTAAAAAAAAACTCGTCTTCAGCCTCATTTTAGGTGCAGTTTTTACAGATAATGTGGAAAAAACTATACCTGACGTCAAGTTCTGGTGGAAAGTAAAAAAAAAATAACAAAAACAAATATTATCATTAAAGATGTAAAAAACGACATTGCAAGCGCGACAGTACGAGTATGACGATGCGAATCGTACATTGGAACATTTTCAGTCTTTATTCCTACACTGGGTAGGTATGCTTTCACGACAAAAACGTTGTGATGATGTATGTAATTTTAAAATTTCTGAGGATGTCATTATACTTTTCATTGGGGGTGACTTTCCCCACTACATCACCAATTTGGCCACACTGTATGATCAGTTCACTGTTCAGTGCATACAGATGTGTGTATTGGGACCTTTACACTTATTTGAAATTGTTGCATACACTCAAACAATCTAGCATTGTTACTAATTATGTTGATTCTCCAAATGCTGCCTGAAAGGTAAAGCATTGGAGAAAGCAAAAGTACATGGTAATGGCCAATGGGCACATGATATCAGGCATGCACCTAGACCAAAAATATTATAATCAAACAAGAATAGGATGGGGAAAAATAAGTGATGAGGTAAATACAAGGTGGGCAAACATTGTCACTTTTCAATTTTCAGCAGTAACTTTTCGAAAGTGGTACCTAACAGGTATGAAGAAAAAACTTTCACAACATAAATCGTTTGACAAATTATATAACACACATTTTATGGAAAAGTTTTAATCGAACTGATGTCGACATCATCATTTAAAGGTAGTGTGCCACCTTTGAAAGATTTCCCATTTTATTTTTCCTAGGATAAGAAGCTTCTGTTTTTACCTAATATCGCAAAAAAAATCAAAAATGGGCCTGGAATAGTGCCTTTTTCGCCTAAAAGTTTATCGGTTTTTCGATATGTATAACAACTGTAGTGGGATGACCTGCAAACAGGCGTCGGCAACAATCGCGAATGGGGCGCACAGCAAAGGTCATTATAGAGTTACGACGTACGGGAATGAGTTATCAGCTGTCTAATCGTAGACAACACAATGTCGAGCCTTAAACTGTAAGCCTGTATTGGTATTGTTTCTTTTATTTGGCTGTCAAACATTATTTATGGTTTGAAATATGATTTTATGTAAAATAATTTATATGAAAAAGCCGTCTCTTAAGTTATGACCCCATTTCACCACACGCAAGTGGCAGAAATGACAATGATCAGCTGACGCATTTATCTTGGCCGAAGTCAGAGCGCGCGGCCCGACGCACCACCACCGCACCACAAAGTATGAGCAGAAGCCGCGCCCAAAGCCAGGGCCCCGCCGCCCCGGTAACGTGAGGTAGCCGAGTCGGGGCAGCGTGCGCTGACCCAAGCCGGGGCCGCAGCTTTGGGCGCGGTCTACCGCATCCCCGCGGGCAGCCCCGGGCTATCACATGACACCGGGAGGACGCGCGGCCCCGGCTTGGGTCAGCGCACGCTGCCCCGACTCGGCTACCTCACGTTACCGGGGCCCTGGCTTTGGGCGCGGTCTACCGCACCACCTAACAGGCGTGTTCGAAACCGCAGGAGATGATGATGAACGGGTTTATCGAAACTTGATTGGATGAGCATATCGGTAATAGCGATTTCAGTGTGTGCATTTTTTGTTCATAGTGGTGTGAAATGTGGTTGGGGTACGACCGACAACCCGTCGGGGCGAATTTCGCACTGGGGTACTCAAAATTTGAAGAATTTAAGACGTTTCCATGAGTTTTGAAGGTATGGATAAGTTCTAAAAATCCGGTTTTCCTTATCTGGGCCATTAACTCCATACGGTCCAGGAAAGCTGGCACACTACCTTTAAAAACAGGGTCTGCGCGTCTCACTTTTATTTGCGCATGTGCGCGAAGAGGGGCACCTCCACGCTCAAGGCACATCTGAACGCGCCCCAGGAAGCTGACACCCACCCTCTCCGCGTGGCAGCTGGCACTTAACGCACGTACTGCTCGACGCTGAGACGCAGCTCCTCCAGGCCACCGGGCTTGTTGTGGTGCCGCTGTCCTTGCAGGCTCCCCAAAACCAGTAGTCCAAGTGCTTGAGGTCAGGACTGTGAGGACAGCGTCTACCGCAACAGCGGTAGAACCAGGGTTGCGGAGTCGGAGTCGGAGTCGGAGTTGGAGTCGGTCGTAGTCGACAGTTCTGCCCGGAGTCGGAGTCGGAGTTGGAGTCGCCAGTCTTACCGACTCCGACTCCGGAGTCGGAGTTAACGCTGCATGTCTCAAGGACATGCACTGCACCTATTTGATTGGCGGTACTGCGCTCGAGATTAGGTTTTGTCGAAAAAATGTCATTTTGTTGTTTTGGACGAACGTTTTCAGCGATAGAACCAGAAGACGGTGAATTCCCTTCCCTAGAACCTGCTTTTTAATTCTGCATGTTATTTTTAATGCATATTTGCAACGCAAAGCCTGGGAACGCACAAGGGATCGTTTGAGGCAAAATAAGAACATCTCCAATCTCCATTATGAACTTCAATATCATGATATGGATTTTAATAGGACCGTCCGGAGTCGGAGTTGAAGTCGGAGTTGGAGTCGGAGTCAGAGTCGATTTTTTAAGGCAGAGTCGGAGTCGGAGTCGGAGTCACCCTAAAATCCATCGACTCCGCAGCCCTGGGTAGAACAGCGTCTACCGCAACAAGCCCGGTAGCCTGAAGGAGCTGCGTGTCAGCGTCGAGCAGTACGTGCGTTAAGTGCCAGCAGACACCGCGGAGAGGGTGGGCGCCAGCTTCCTGGAGCGCGTTCAGATGTGCCTTGAGCGTGGAGGTGCCCACTTCGCGCACATGCGCAAATAAAAGTGAGACGCACAGACACCATTTTTAAAATGATAATGGCAACATCAGTTCCAATGAAACTTTTCCATAAAATTGGTATCATATAATTTTTCAAACGATTTCCTTAAAGTTGTGAAAGTTTCTTCTTTGTATCTTTTGCCACTTTCGAGAAATCACTGCTGAAAAGTGACACACTTCTTTCCCGCCATCTATAAGTGATAGCACAGCTGTGCCTACCTTCTTTAAGTTAGGTACTTTCGTTTTCTTTTGATAAAGCTATTGAAAAATTTTCGAGCTCCTAGAAGTCAGCAAATATCTACAGACTATCATGCAAAAAAGTGTCACCAGACAGCATCCACAGAATCAGATAACTTGACTTATAATTAAGTAAATATACTTTAAATGCAGGCATAATTTGTCAATTTTCTAAGCCAAATAATGACTCTTAAAATTCAGGAGACAAGTGATTGAAAAGCAGAAAAAAGGTTTCAATAAAATAAACATGAAAGGCACAGCCTACAACATTCAAAAAGAAAAAGAACAAAGTGATTTATTGAGAAGCAAATAAACATTAGATACTGAAGCCACAGAACATGACAACATTGTCATGTTAGCATGATAGCTCAAAATATCAAGTCATTTGTGATTTTTTAAGTTAAGGCAAGCATATATTTACTATGCAGCTAGTGGCTACAATAAGTAATTGCCATTCGTTCAGATAATTACAGGTGATTCCACATTTATTCATAAAAAAAAATTAACTGTTATTGAACAGAATTAATATTGTGTGTGTAACCTCACCGAAAACAATTAGGGGAGAGTGGGGCACATTCGTGCATGGGGCACATTCGTTTTCAGCAGTTTATGGGAACACGAGTGACTGCACGAGCTCAAGGTAAATTATGGAAATATGTCTATCATTGCCGCCCTTCGTTCACCGTAGAAGACAACACTGTACCTGCTGTCATGCTTGATAAAAACGCAAATTTGTAATATTCGTGAGCTTTCCAAACTTTTCTCATATCATCCATTTTCGTGATCCTGACTCGGAAATGTGGTTCAGCTTTTCAAAATTGGGGGTGAAGAAGCCCACTCTATTCACGGAACTGCTGCAAACTTGTTTGTTGAAAAAGTGTCATTTTTTCCAAAAGAAATTTTGAAATATATTACTAATAACGTTGTGGGGCAGGTTCGTGTACGCACTGCCTGGGGGCACATTCGTGCATATTTTTTTAGTTTTTGCGATTCATGACTTTATCTGTAGTAGGTTTCTCTAATGACGCTCGCCTGACTCAGTCTCGACTGCTTGCGACGTCGTGACGAGCAATTCACGCGAACTTGGCGAGGTCACGGAGGCCGGCAGTTGGCACATTCTTGTTGGCCAGCCCATTCTTTCTACATTTGTTGTGCAATGCATTCTTGTCGAAAGGAATCAAGTGAAATGACCCCCTGCCAATTTCCTTTGGTAAATTTCTGGTAATGCCCGGTAATTTCTCGAATTTTGCCGGGTGAACGGAAGTGCCCCATCTCTTGAACGAATGTGCCCCATAGGTGGGGCAGTTTCGTGCAAATGTTCAGAGTTAATAAAAGTCATTTTTTCTAATGGAAGCAATAATTTTATAGGATAACTTTTAAAGAGGAAAACTATCTGCAATAGTTCCTTTCCATACTACAATCAACAATTTTGCCATTGCACTAACCAAAGAACAGATATATGGGTTTATCCATTTTTTGCACGAATGTGCCCCACTCTCCCCTACATTACCATCTGCAGAAAAGTTCAACATCTTTTAGATGAATAAGTAATAGGTGTAAAGTACCATTGGTATCTTGAAAAAACTTAGTAATGTACCTGCATATTTGATGGATAAGCTTTTCCAAAATGCAATTTCTACTTGTTGTTTTACATAAAAGGAGAAATATTAGCATTGTTTAACATCAAACATGTGCCATCATAGCCATATTTATTGGTTGAAAGCTTTTTAGTTAAAAAAAAACTATTATGTAAGTAGGTAGTGTAGCTAGGTAGGTAGATAAATACCATGCACCCATTAACAAAATCAAACATAGTTTGCTAATGTGTCTTCTTGA